CCATGTCTTTTAGTGAGGACAGTTTAACGCTCCTAAATTCCCTTACAGACTTCTGCATGCAAACCTCACTCTGTAGACAACAATTCATCGCAAGATATTTTGATGAGAATCTAGGTGAAGCATGTGACTCCCGTGATATCTGTCAAGAAGACAGTTTCCAGGAACAAAAGGACTTGACGCTTCATGCGAGAAACGTCATTGACTGTTTACACCAAATCTGACTGACTTGGCAATGACTTATATGGGGTCAAAGGCCAAAACGATCATTACACAAAGATTTAACACAATCGCACAGTATGGAAAGGGGAAAGACCAATTTCTAAATGTGAACAATGCGACTAAATTTATCCAGTTTCTGATTTTTAAAGGATTCATAAAAGAAAACATTAGAAGTCTTGAAGAGAGGATGACAATTAATTGTCTAACTTGTGGAAATGTTGTAGACTTGGTTGATGGTAGATGCCAAGTGTTCTTCAACTTGTAAAGTGTGGCTCTCTTAGAACAGATGATAAACAATGCGACAAAACCGTGAACTTTTGAAATTTCTCGGGAATGTTTATTGTCTTATGACCAATCACAGCGAAGACCAGGACACCGGAACTGGCCACAAAACCACAAACTAATAAATAAGCAATTACCGTTGCTACTTGTGGTTAGTTTTTTCATGCCTGATTGGCTTTTTTCTTGTATAACAATAACATTCCTGAAATATTTCTGGTGTTTACTGTTTTCCTGGTTTGACTGTATGAGTATTATTTTACCATCTGGAGGCTGTTGGAAAGCAACAGTGGTCAAAAGTTGCATGTACATAGATTATGGGTAATAGCTCTTAAGACAGCTACCCTTGAATGTGTGCTGACTTCACAAAAGGCAATAAATTGCTTTGTCTATTCAAAAAGTGTAAGGTCAAAAATCCCAACACCACCCCTCAACTCCAGAAAAATCTGATGCAGTCCCTCAGTTCAAAGTCATTTATTGAGATAATATTTTATAAAAATACAAAGTGAACTACATCAGGATCCTGACTGTATATTATTAAACAATGTGGAAAAAAAATTTATAATGTTATTGTTACACCCAGCAAGAGCCCAGTGGGTTGATTCTGTGGTGGTGGGTCTGTGCTTATTTTGGTTACTCTTGGAGAAATTTAAAGCAGCCCAATGGCCTTGCCCAGCTTATGATTACTAAGGGAAAACTAAGATTTCCCAGAGTGCCAGTAATGAAAGTAAGGAGCCAGAGAACAATGGACACTGCATATGTGTAACTTCCGTTTGTCAACCCTTATTACAATGGGTAAAGAAAGGTTTTAACCCTTTAAGTCCCAATAGTGACCAACATCAATTTTCTCCCGAAAAAATCAATAGACAATCAAAGGGAAAGGTTATGAGAATTTACAAAATGATCACCGAAAGGAAAATGCTTTGATCTTTTTTCAAATTCTCTCAACTCATTCTTTAAGGAAATATATATAGATCAGTTTGGAGAATTTATATGTGGGTATTGGGGCTTAAAGGCTTAACAATTGAATGAATTCTCCATATCAGTACCATACATGAAGCAGATTGAATCAAAATATCACTTGTGAAAGCATTAACACTGTACATTTGATAATGATTAATAATATTTGGCCTTGCTCTTTTTCGTGAATAAATGTAGGGAAAGGTCATCAATTATGGGAGGAAAAGAGGGATACCCTGCAATTATTTTTTCAATGCAAATGAAGATAGACTTAAGCCTGAAATTAATGGCTTTCAGAAGGCAGCTTGTTTTGTACGCATAACACTTGTTTATAGTTGACCTCATCATTACAAGCATTCTTATTGAGATTTTAGTCATTGTGAACATTCAGATCAAGCTTTTAATACCTGCGAAGTCAGGTAGAGAGGAAGAAAGCAGCTAGAGTTCCTATTGTATGAAAGTCAAGGGCACCAAGAAAAAACTAATGCCTTGGGATGTTTTATAGCCCACTCCCCTCCTTTTCTCCAATAAATGTATTCTGTGAATTCCTCACCCACTTTCCTCTCCCAAAATTAATTACCAGTCCATACTCATTGCTGTAAATAGCTAAATGTAAGAAAAACACTTCCATCTGCTGCTGTTGGTCTATTCAGTAAGACAAGTACTCATGACTGATAAAAATGCTTTGAAAACATACTTGTAAATGCATATGTTATTTCTTTTTTTAAAACTGGCATTTTCCAATGATTAAAATAGTGATTGCACATGATTTCTTCTTACTTACTTTTTATGACTAACTTGCTCTATTGAGACTACATGCCCTGTAGTGAAGAGTTTGGTTGTTGATTTTGCAACAGAACACTGTTTCCTGTTGAGCCTGATGTCCGGCAGATAACGATTGATTTTGAAAAGGCATTGTGGGGTGTTCTTCGCCAGCTCTTTCCTGAAGTGAGGATCAAGGGATGCGTGTTCCATTGGACGCAGGCTCTTTGGAGGAAGGTAGGTCCAAAATGTTGACTGCAAGAAATAAGAGCTCATAGAA